AAGTTTTGTGTTTATTATGGCTTGTTACTAAACTTAGTCCACCTATAAATTTGTGTTTATTATGGCTTGTTACTAAACTTAGTCCACCTATAAATTTGTGTATATTTTGAATAAGAGAAACTTCTGTTTAATCTTTGCAAAAGAGTTTATTTTTTGTTTAATACCTAAGGTTTCAGGCTTGCTACTATTTATTTATTTTTTGCTTTTAAGGTAATAACACAGTCGGAAATTTCACATTTAACTTTGCTTTAGGATACACATTTTTTCTTTGTTTTCATTTTCATCAAAACTGTTAAATAATTTTCAAACATTTTCTTCAAAATTATTTTTCGGCTAGAAAGATGCAGTTGAGATAAGCTTTTGGTACACCTCACAAGGCATTAACCTTACTGTATGTTGGAAATTCTGTCCATCTTCGATTTGACTTGACTTTAAAGAAAAGATAAACCATGGAAGACCTTCAATGTTCAATGAAAATTCACAAATCAAGAAGTCCATTACGGTTTGCTTCCAAATTTAACCCCGCCATAAGTTACGCTGTTATCTAGAAGTAAGAGCATTCTACTATATATTTCAAGTATTTGTATGTGTGTTAAACATAAAGATAGATTTGTTAACAAAATATTTTGGAGTATATATTCAGCATACATAATGAAACAGCTTAGACATCACGTGTTTAACCATAGCATTGTTTCTTTTCCTTATAGGTTTAATTTAATTAACAATGGCGGCAATGTTGAAATACCACATGCTTTAATTGGAATAACTATATTTTTCTCATCGTGCTGAATAAGAATCACACACACTGTAACTGAAATAAGCATTTTATTTACAAAACTACCTTTACAAAATACCAGACCTATTTGAATGCCTGAAGTTCTGATTGTTCTTCAAGAAACAAACAAAAAAAACAACTTAAAATCGAGCAGATAAAAAATAAGTTTTGTTTAACATTTTAGTAGAGGAACATAGTATTTACTGCACAATGTTCTCTTCTGTTACCATAAACATGAGTAATTCGGTTCACTAAAACTTTACAATTAGGACAGCATAGCTGTTACAATCTATCTCAAAATCACAACAGATGTTTAACGAGTTCCAGACAGTTATTGGGTAACTCTTTTTCAACAATGTGCTTCATGCATTTACACAACAATAACTACAAGTAAGTTTGATTTCTAAGTTTGACATCAAGTAATATTGGATAAATTGTAAAAAAACAAACAAACGATAATTCACTCTGAGAGAAGCGCCACGGTCATTAGTCACTTGCTAATAGTGTTCATGATTATAACAACAACTAGGGTTTTCTGACTATGTTGAGTCCCTGAGGTTTTCAAATGTGCTTTTTTAGTTCCTCAGTGGTTTCTATGAACATTTCCAGAAAATCTCCTCCGGTAGAAACTCTACTGAAACAACATGAAAAATAATAAGAAAATTATTACTTAAATTCAGATGTCTACGTACACGCTGAAGACTAGAAATTAAGATACACAGTGGTGTGTCGTGCTGCCAAAACAACCTGCAGGACACACTGTGTGTTATTAACAGGAGTGATAGTTAGCGATTTTCCACCTTCTGTAGCTCGGACTGTGGTAATCCTCATATTTTCAGTGCTCTACTGGACTCTTACTTAACATATCCTCATATTTTCAGTGCTCTACTGGACTCTTACTTCACATTTCAAGGCAATTCATTAAAAAAACACGAGGTATAAAATCTGCAATTTTGATTAAATTTTTTCCTAATTTTTTTGTTCGCACTGAAAGTACGGAAACTATATTTGATAGAAAAGCATACTTACCTTTTATGATTTTTTTTTGTAAATTTCGTACACTGATAGATTTTTGTAACCTACAATTAGATGTCAGATTTGGTCTGAGTATAAGTCACATGCAAAGTTTTCAACAAAATTCGATCAATTTTGAACAAACTTTGCGTACACCTACACAAAAAATCAAGTGAGCTATTGGTCTGAAGTTTTTACTACAGCTTCAATTCAGAGTAAAAGTGGATAGTTTTTAGTTTTTTGTCATTCAGATTAAAGACGGCTGATTTAGAGCAGCAAAACTATAGGGTGAAAGCACGTGCAGATATATAAGTATTGGTTAGGTCAAGCACATTAGCTACACTTATAGCACTGATAAGAATTTTACAGTAAATATCCATTTATTAGTTAGCTAGGCCGCGTATTTTCTTTTACCCACCATCATGCCCCGAAGTTGAACAAAAAACGCGGCCTGGCTAACTTTTCTTTAAGTCGCACACTCAGTCGTTTTTTTTACCACACCTTTAGTCTCAACTTGATATTTACAAGAACACGAATAAAAATATTTGGAATGAAAAATTTAATTTCAAAAACTTTTACATGAATTTTTCTCACAATAGCAAAGTGCGAATAATTCGATGATGAGGAACCCACTTTGAAACTAATAATGGTTGGAGACGGCTTGAATGTTTTTCTTTATTACCCATTCAAGCCGTCTCCAACCATTAAAAGTGTAAATAAATTAGCTATCATCGTCATTCCTACAGAGAAGGATTTAACGTTAAATACAATATAACATTAAATCACCTAAATAATAATAGCTGTGCATTTTTAATTCGCCCCAGAAGAAGGAAGATATCTTTTTTATCCTGTGTATTTTCCTACTGTTATGACCTTATGGCATTGTTACGACAGCAGAAGTAACGCGACGCTGGGAGCATGCGCGCTGGAGTTTCTAGAAGGATCGTGACTTATCGAGGAACCCCGCGAATGTCCAAGTGTTTACCAGGCGCCCTCTTTTTTAGTATATAAGCCCGGCAAATAAAGCCAGCGATAGATATATATGCAGATAGATCGAAGAGACAGATAATTGAGTCAAGCGAATAGTAGGCAACGTAAGTAACGTGTGTGAATCATTGTGATTTATAGCGTGTGTTATAAAGGTTGTTAAGTGACTGTGGAAATTCTGTGTATTACAAAAAGTTGTATCAAGAAAGAATAAACTAGTTTTAGTTAAGAAAGGAATTGTATCGCTGAAGTTCCTCGGAAAGAATTTATACCGGAAATTAACAAACAAACAGATACGTAACAGTATTAGTACTGTACTGTGCTTCAGTTGAGCAATATTTCATACTTTTGTTTTGTCGAATAATACAGAGCAGTAGGCCGTTTTGATCGTTAAGTCTTCATGAGTGCACCTGCTCTGCCAAATTAAATCTAGATAAAATATATAGTATATGGCCTGTTGTTGCTGTTTTTATTGCACGACAAAACCCCGTTTTTCGACCTAGTTGATCTAGTATCGTTTTTACTGTACACAGACAAGCTGCGTATGTCAACCTGGCTGGTCTGGTATCGTTGTTTTATTGTACAACAATGAAGTATGTGTTGACCTAGCTGGTCTTGTATCGTTGTTTTATTGTACAACAATGAAGTATGTGTTCTAGGTCCTGGTCTGGTATCGTTGTTTTATTGTACAACAATGAAGTATGTGTTGACCTAGCTGGTCTTTAAAACAACGATACCAGACCAGCTAGGTCAACACATACTTCATTGTTATACAATAAAACAACGATACCAGACCAGCTAGGTCAACACATACTTCATTGTTATACAATAAAACAACGATACCTTGTACAACAATGAAGTATGTGTTGACCTAGCTGGTCTTGTATCGTTGTTTTATTGTGCAACAATGAAGTAAGTGTTGACCTAGCTGGTCTAGTATCGTTGTTTTATTGCACAACAATGAAATATTACTACTGTTGTTTGTTTCCACCTTATTTCTGTCACTAGTACCGATATTACAGATGAATCCCCCACTAAAGTATTACTATTTTTGTTTGTTTCCACCTTCTTCCTGACACTAACACCGATGTTACAGATGAATCCCCCACTAAATTATTACTACTGTTGTTTGTTTCCACCTTCTTCCTGACACTAATACTTATTATTACAAATACATTAACTCCGAACAATATACAGACGTTTATACTCATCTGTAAAATCTTTAGTACACTTACCCCTGAATACTTCTTCAATTACTTCTTCACCGCTTGTAAGTCCGTTGAGTGATGTGAGACGATGAACCATCTACAGATTGTAGAAACAGTTTACTTCTAACATTAGTTTAAAGCAGTTGCGCAAACATTTTAAAACAAAGTAAAATTCGCGCGAAAATATTCATCTACTTTTGCTTTTTTTCTGACACATTTTGAGAAAGTTTGTTCTTCTGTTCATATTTTCACAGAACTGTCTGGAATTTTATACCTCATGATCTTAATGTAGCACTTGGTGATAATATGAGCTAACACCTTTAGATGTTCAGCTACTACAGGTACGAAAATAATTACATAAATCTTACCAAAGTTTGCTGTATGTGATTGAAGATGAAATATGACATCATGTATTACATACACTGAGCAAAAATATATAAGAATATATATTTCATATATATCTATATATAAATATATATAAAAATATATGTAGCACTCGATTTACCACTTGTCTATCAAAAATATCATTTTGATAATTCTAACCATCATCAGTAACTATGGACAACAGCAAACAAACTAGGATTCTTGTAGTGGTGAGTTTAATACAATTCAAAACACCATACATATAGTATATTGAATAAACTAATTACTGTACAACCAACCTATGTTCATCGACCTAGCTGGTCTGGTATTGCTGTTTTTATTGTACAACAAAGCTGCATCTGTAGACCTAGCTGGTCTGATATCACTGTTGTTATTGTACAACAAAGCAGCATCTGTAGACCTAACTGGTCTGGTATTGCTGTTGTTATTGTACAACAAAGCTGCATCTGTAGACCTAGCTGGTCTGATATCACTGTTGTTATTATACAACAAAGCAGCATCTGTAGACCTAGCTGGTCTGATATCACTGTTGTTATTGTACAACAAAGCTGCATCTGTAGACCTAGCTGGTCTGATATCACTGTTGTTATTGTACAACAAAGCAGCATCTGTAGACCTAGCTGGTCTGATATCACTGTTGTTATTGTACAACAAAGCAGCATCTGTAGACCTTGCTGGTCTGATATCACTGTTGTTATTGTACAACAAAGCAGCATCTGTAGACCTAGCTGGTCTGATATCACTGTTGTTATTGTACAACAAAGCAGCATCTGTAGACCTAGCTGGTCTGATATCA